GGGGGGTCCCATTTACAGATGTCCCCGGTGGGGAGTCGGAGTGGCTGAACAGTCTGGCGGGTGTCTGGTTTATGGGCTTGTATCTTGGGCCAATCACGACGTCCGTACACTGCTCCTAGCCATGGGGCCGTCGCCCCAGTGACCGGCCTGTCGTGTTCATCCCGCAGCTCCCATGAGTCTGGGATAATTAGGTGCGCATAGTTCGTAAGTGGGAGAAGCTGGTGGGCTAGGGCGGCAAGTGAGTCCGCTTCGGCGAGCAATAGGCGTTTTGTTCGGACGGTGGGATCAGTCGTGTCATCGGGGTCCTGGTGCGCTCGGGTCCAGTCCCCGGCAAAGGTTCCGTTGGCTGTGAAGAGCGCCATGAGTGAGCGGAGTTCGACCCTGTAGATGTTGCTGTAGCGTGGGAGGCCACCGCGGCGTTTGAGGGATCTGGCGAGTACCACCAATCCAATGGCTTTGGTGTTGTCGCATATTTGGAGCGCAGCATCGCCAGAGTGCTGGAGGCCCACTAGCAGGCTATGTAGTTCACAGCGTGTGGGTGTGATGTGGTTGGCGTGTACTTGGATGGACCCAGCGAGGGTAGTGCCGTCTCTGCCCAAGTAGCTCCATGTACCATGCGCGGCCGGGGTTCCTTGGTGCGTGACGCTGCCGTCACCCACCGCATGGGTGCGTACATCTCGTCGGGGGAGGGTATGTAACCCGTACGTCGGTGCGCTGGGGTGCGGAACGACGCGACAGTGTGGGATGCATGCCGGGTGGTGCCAACCCCCACAATCACGACAGATGGTAGTGTCCGCTAGGCGGTGACAGGCGGTACAGGCTGGCGTCGCTTGCGGGGGGGGCTGGTGCCCCGTATGGTGCGGTTCCGGGTGAGTAGTTTGGCCGGTAGTTGAGGCAATGACGGTACGATTGTTTTCCCCTTTGTGGGTGATGTGTGTGCGTGGGTTGGTCCAGGACGTGTCGGTCCAGGGAATAAACTTGAGGCGTTGAGCTCGGCTGGTTGGTAGGAGGCTGCCTGTAAGTACAGCACAGCCCGTAATGGGAACAAGGCGGTGTCGGCCTCGTGCTTCGCGCGGTGTAGGGGAGTACCAGATGTCCGAGTCTTTACGTAGTTCATGCCAGAAGGTGACGGCAATCTCCGTGCCTTCCTGGGTTTGGCGTGTTTGGAGGCTAGTTCGGCGTGCAATGCGGTAGCTGAGGGTGGGGGGTCGGTTATCTGGGTGAGTTAGGTGGTGTGGGATTACTAGCATGGCGTGAACCGGGATGTGTAGAGTTTCGTAGCCCTGTGTGGGAACAAAAAAGGTTCGACCGAGGGGGTGTGTGAGGTATGGTAGGGACGTGCGATAAGGGTTTTGCTGTGGGGGAGGCAGGTGTTGGGAGGTAGGATAGGGCCCCCATTGTAGCGTTTGTTGTCGGAGTACCGGTGGGGCGGGTGGCTCGGCCTTGGGGATAGCGTCCCAAATGGGTGCAAACCGTTGGAGCGTGAGGTTTGTCCATCCAAATTTCGTACGGAGGGACGGTAGGCTGAGCAGCATGGTGCCCTTGTCATTTGTGATGTCCCCCACCCAGCGTATCTTTTTGGCGTGGAGCCTGTTGATGGAGATAAGAGTCGTGCTCAGGGCCGGTGTAAGGTGAGCCCAGATTGGGCGGTCATTGGGGCGCAGCGGACGGCTGGCGGCTGGTTGGTGCCATTGCGTCGTGATGGATAGGGCGGGCTGGAATGTGGCAAGGTCCCGGAGCATCGTGCCTAGAAGTGTGCCGTCTGCGGCAGGTGGGTGTATGCGGAAGGCGAGGGGGTGGTCCGTAAGCCCGCTATCCAGTTGGTAGGCCTCGAGTGATTCCATGAGGAGGTCATGTGTAGGGGAGCCTCGGTCGTTGGCAATACGGAGGAATTGATATAGGCGTTGGCTGTGGCTGAAACGTTCGCAGTGGACCAGTCCCAGTCCATCGGTTGGGTCGTAGAACCACTCTGTGGGGTGGTCGTGGGGTAGCTTGAGGACCCGGCGCGCCGTCTTACGGAATAGGGTGTCAAGGGCTGGTGCGATGCTGATGGCATCACTGATAGCCGTTCGGTAGAGGACACTCGGTATCCAGACTGAGTTGATGATGTACACGAGTTCTTTCTTTCTTAGCCCTCGGGGGGCTACGGCATTGGCTTGGGTGTTGAGTCTCTGCCATACCACACGCGTGGTCTCTTCCCATTGGTTGTCGGTGCCTTGATGTATACCTAGATGGCGGAAACCCTCTGAGGGTGCGACCACGCGGATGGGTTGTGGAACGCCGAGCCCGTCGTTGAGGGCAATGGCCGGGTGTGCATGGGGGGATAGGTAGAGGAGGAAGGATTTGTCAGCACCGAATACTCCACCGGACGCGGATTGGCCGGTGAAGGTGTTGGAGATGCGTGCTCGGTCTTGTATGCCAGCATAGGTGGTCGCAATGTCAAGGGCGTCATCCACGAATAGGAGGCTGGAGATGGTGCGTGTGTGGGCACCCTGAGGGTGTTGGCTGTGTACAATGCGGACGGGGTCCAGGCCACTGTGTTGCTGGCGTAGGAGGACGTCCATATAGTATCCAATATGCATGACCGCGAGGATAGAGCCTTGGCCCAGTCCGAATTCCCGGATGCCGCCATCAAGCCAGCCAAAGGCCGTGCGGATATCGATTTGACTGGCCCCAAGGAAATGTGCCATGAGTTGGCGTGGTATGGGGGGGACACCGAGTTTACGGTAGATGTATTCCATGACCCAGCCTGGGATGCGGTCGAAGCATTTGAGGCAGTCCTTAGAAATAAGGAATAGTTCTTCCTGCCGACGTTCGGCGCAATGTAAATCTAGAAGTGCACATGTACTGTACTCCAGCGGTAGGGTTCTTTACAGTGAATGGTCACGCTCACTACGATATCCACGGAGTGTTTACTGTACTTCGGTGTCGTTGGCGAGCAAGGAACGAGGTAAGCATGCCTGATGAGTGGCTTGAGTTGCGCAAGTAACCAAATAATTCCTCCACGTAATATTGAACGTACTATAATAGGACGTGTACAGTGTACCTTTAGCCCCCATTATTGACATGGAAGAGACATCTGCCAATGAAAGCCAATAGGCGTCTACTTGTAACCAATCAGATTGTTGTGGGATAAATTTGTCGCAGCGGCCATTTTATCTATACGTAAATGATCAAGTGTTGTTACACCTAAGAGAGGTGCCTCATCAGAACCTTCGAAGGGTCTAAATTCGTCTCTGAAACTTGTCCTCGTATCTGAAATGAAGGGCTGCCGAAAGTGTTAATTCCGCGACAACCATGGGTAAGTTTACAACTTCTTTTAGTTTTAAACATTAATCCAAATATCCATGGTACAGTCAGTACTCTGGAGTATGTAACTTACTAACGTTAGTAGAATACTGTACTGTATTACAGTACGATAAATAAAGTACTTCGAAGTACTACGTAGTACTGTACTACCGGTACACTTGTTTGAATGATCAATTTACGATACTAGTACTCTATAGAGATTTCGTGTGCTGTCGTGTATGATGGCATCGTATGGTGTCTGTCGCAAACATCACGCCGGCAAATCTCGCCCATCAAGTGGTGGGGACAAATTCCCTTGCTTCAACCGTAGTACTTTTGTGGCGTAATCGTTTGGGCCTTCCTGGCATACAAAACCCAAGTACTATATATTGGCATATACTACACCTTTTTTCTATTGAAACAGACAAATTTTCAATTGATTGGGTCATGCATCCAATGGATTTGCATTTGCGTCCACGTATTTGGTACGCGATCCACTGGAATCGGCACATGCAGCTCGTGTGTCCAATGGATTTGGTACATAAACCATTAAACTCGGCATCCACCCAAACAAACAACCGT